CCAGTCCCAAACTAAAAACCTCAACAAAACACAGAAAATCCTCAATCTAAAAAAGGTAGAAAATAATAAAAACTAGTAGATTTTAAAATGAGCCAAAAGGGAAAACAAATGGCCAGATGTTAAATTTTAACTTAATTATATCTACATTAGTCCACTTTACAATGCACTCTGTCTGATAGCAAGGGTATTCACATCCCTATTCAGTGGTCAGAGGGATTCTCCAGAGGCTTAATCCATTGGGGGACTCTGCAAATGGATTTTGGGTTTTCACTGTCATACACAGCCTTCCGCTAACTAGGTGCTCAGAATTTAAGTTCTAATACATACAATCTTTGGATCACACAGGCTGGTGTGTTTCTTCCTTTTTAACAGGGGCTTTTAAACTTACTGCATTTGTGACCCCTTTTCATCTGAAAAATTTGCAAGTGCTGCCAGAAACACCCCAGATTCATTATGCATTTATTTAAAATTAATTTCTGGTCATTGCATGTTTAGCAACCTTTTACTGTTTGCCAAATTTTTTGCATCCCCTTACAATCAGTTACGCGACCCTACATGGGTTTAAGCTTTGGTCTCGTCCAGTAGCCAACTGAACTTTTAATTTTATTAACCTTGCAATCAATTTGGAGCCCTTGTGACATAGTGAGTTATCTACTGTGCTAAGATTTACAGTCTCAGAAATTCACAGTGGCATTTCTACTCTGTCCAATAGGGCTGCCACGAGATGGAATTGACTGAATGGTAGTGAGTTTGAATTTAGAAGTTAGGAACCACACATGGCTAACCTACTCTCAGTAAGTGGGTTTTTGACTCAAAGCAACCTCAGAGGGCAGAGTAAAACTGCCCATTGTGTTTCAGAGCTGTAAGTGTTTATGGAAGCGGGGTGGGTTCTAACCACTGACCTTGCTTGTATTTTTTAAGTTTTATCAAGAGAACATTTATTAAGTCTTAAACAGAACAAAGACAACTACATGGTGTCCAAGGGCTTGCTGGGATACATGGTTTTAAAAAAGGTATGGGAGGTCAAGGAAGACTGTCACATAAGCACGGTTGACAATTGAAACATGTGTATTATGTAAGGCAGAGGAACTCACAATATTGGTCTAGGGGTTTCCCTGGGACAGTCAGGGCATGACTCATGAACAGTCCACCCCAAGTATGGTGATTTCCATTCTGGACATACCCAGAGAAGCCCCCTGAAGGTGACTGCCCCTCCCTGGGCTCTTGACCTTTCCTTTAGCAACACAGGTGGCTACTACACTGAATAGCAAAGGTCTAGCTACTTTCTTTATATGACTTCCTAAGTCAGAATTTTAATATAATCATGTAATGTTTCAGAAGTTTCTTTTTTCTCTTTTCACTGATAATGCGGAAATTCTATTCTTGAAGACAAGGCTGAAAAGTACTTTTAAGGAACTTTGGGTGAATAAAAAATGTTTCATTTTACTGGCTGGAATGGGTAATGCATGGCCTGGCCACATCACTCAGAGAGTAGGTGGCAAAGCAAGGCCGGAAGCCAAACCTCCAGACTTCGGCATCACTGTTCGTCCTCCAGGCGGCGTCCTGGGTGGGCGGTAAGACCGGAGGAAGGGGGCGTTGTGAGATTTAAAAAACGAGCCTAGTCCTGGGGTCCACTCCGGGTGGTTATTACGATTCATTCAGAGGATTTACTTTGGTCAATTTTCTAAATAGAAAATGAGAATTATGCTGTTGCTCTGGGGCAACCAGTTGGAATGAAGGGTTCTCTATGGTAGTTGTCCCAATCTGAGGCCCATCCATCCCGGGTATGTAGCTTACCTTGGCTGCACCGTGTACAGATGACAGGTGAGTACGGTGGCGCCGAGGTTCGTTTTTAACAACTACCTGAGCAGGCTAGACAGCCTCTCTGCGAGGTGGGCCACCTGTGGCCGCAGAGAGCCCGC